AGAGTGTTAGTTCTAAAACAATATCTTCTCCTCTCATTTCCATCTTTCAACAATAAGATTAAAGGAATGCATTAATAATAAGAGCAATCAATTTCATGTAATCGAAAGATCTTGCTTTTAAATGAGTACTGTTCATATGTCTCATGTAGTTGTTGTTGTTTTTTTTTTTTTTAACTTTTAATTCATGTCAGATACAATGCAAAGAAATCTTATTGGAGGACGCGGATATAACTAAGGGATTAATAGAAGGAATTTCCATGTATTCCATTGAGCTTCTGGTTCTCGGGGCACCTTCAAGGAGCGGTCTTGTCAGGTAATAAAGATTCCTCCTGCTCACCAAACTCTAATTCAAACAACTATGCTTGAACTCGACCAAGATCACAAACATTAGGAGACTAATACATAATCAATCTAACAATGATACCCGATTGCCAATTAATAACAATGGTTAATTGGCTTTTGAAGAAAATGCAAATTGTATGAATTTGACTTTGTTTCAAAATCAAATTGTGAGATTTTGGCATATTAGAGGTACAACTTATAACATCTGATTGATCAAATTCAAAATCCATCTGTAACAACTTTGGTAAAAAAATTAATTCATAATAAATAGCTTTTACTTGATCAAAACAGGTCGGAATCCTATTTTTGATGAATTATATTCGAGAAGAACATAACATAATACTAATTTTTGATCTATTACTTATGGCAGGAGATTTAGGACATCTGATATTCCAAGTGCCGTGTCCAAAGGGGCGCCACCATTCTGCACTGTGTACATTATTTCCAAAGGAAAAATCTCATCAGTGAAAACTGCTAGTGCTCCACTAGCTGCTAAACCTACAACCCGTTACAATCCATTGCAGCCACAGCAGACTCTCCAAAATCCTGAGAAAATGGATACACAAGTAATACGCAACCCCGTCCCACCACGATGTAAGCCAACTTCTCTTTAATATTCAGCCCATATTTCACTGTTTAACTTATTTTTATTTTATTTTTGGTAACATTGTTTATCAAGCACTGAATTTATTTGTACTTATGACAGCATCAAATGAGAAGCCATCATACATTGCTCCCCAGACACCGGATGAAATGGAAATCATGTAAGTACATCGTGAGTTCTTAGTTGGAGTGACATAAAGTTAATATTAACAAGAACACAGCACACGTTAATTGCATTACAAACATATACATACACACACCATCCATAGTAGAAAATTTCTTTCTCAGTACACAACAAAACCAGTAATTATTCATAATGATTAGTGAAAAGTCACAAACTCGCCTTCTTTGTCACAATTGCACTGATCAAATCAAAAGGGAAAACCTGATGGCATTGCTTGTGAGAAATTATAACCATAAATACCAAAGAATACTCAATCTCCCTAATTAGATCAGGAATACAATGCAACTATCGTGGGGAAAAAGCATTCATCTCTGAAGTCTGAGTATCATTGGTTGAAGTAAACCTTGTATGTTTAAAGTTCAAAATCGTGTAAAGATATAGTGACATCATTGCCAGGCAAAAAATATAAGAATGTTAATTACATTAGCCAATGTGTTCCAAAATATTGATGTACAAGAGGACTAACTAGATATCCTTTGGACAGATCACCATTCACAAGACCTAATAGAGGAAATTACAGATCATACGAGTCCTCAGTCACCGACTCTGATATTTCATTCGTGAGCAGTGGAAGGCCAAGTATTGATAGAATATTCCCTTCAATGTATGATGACCTTGACTCTGGAATCAAACCTCGGCTTTCAGCAGGCTCAGAGTTTGATGTCAGAAGCTTTGGCTCTTCATTCTCAGGAGCCAAGTCAATTGATCAGGGTGACTACTCATTCAGTTCACAAGACAGTGGGTCATCGATGTCATCGTCCATGCTTTCAGTTTCGGTAAGCTAAATATATATATATATATATATATATTAGATAATTAATATGGTTAACTAATCTACTTTATTAACATGCCAAAACACCCATGTGTGCCTTTCTAACTGTCAAGATCAAGTTTGAGGCTCTATGTCATACTCACTCTAGAGATATTTACATGTACATGTGCTTGCACAGCAGGACAAGATTTAACAAATGTCTTCTTTGAAATTATAGGATGAAGTGGAAGTTGAAATGAGGAGACTGAAGCTAGAACTGAAGCATACAATGGAAATGTACAGTACAGCATGCAAGGAAGTTATGACAGCAAGGCAAATGGTAACTTAAGATTTTAATTTAGTCCCAACATGCAAGTACCAAGAATATTACTGCCATGCCATAAAGTTAATGTAATCTACAAACCACATACTGACTAATTGATACGATTCTCCAACAGACACTAGAACTTCAGCGTTGGAAAGTGGAAGAACAAAGGAAATTGGAAGAGGCACGATTTGCTGAAGAAACAGCATTGGCATTAGCTGAGAAGGAGAAAGCAAAATGTATAGCGTCCATGGAGGCAGCAGAAACATCTCAAAAAATTGCAGAGTTGGAAGCACAAAAGAGAATGAATGCAGAATCTGAGCAGAAGAGGAAGACTGTGGATATCCTTTCACATAGTCCTGCCAGGTACAGAAAATACACTATAGAGGAGATAGAAGAAGCAACAAAATTCTTTTCCAACTCTCTCAAGATCGGTGAAGGTGGTTATGGACCAGTCTACAGGTCTGAACTAGATCACACGCCAGTTGCAATAAAAGTGTTAAAACCAGATGCAGCTCAGGGACGGTCACAGTTTCATCAAGAGGTAAGAAAAATGGAAATAAAAACTTGTATATTATGTGTACCCAAAAGAACCTACATTATTATATATATATATAGAAAGGATTGGACGGCGGATCATGTTTCCTTTCCATGTCATTTAAGGTAATCAATGCACTATGGTGGAATCAATGAATTTGTCATTTGGTGAATGCAGGTTGAAGTGCTAAGTTGCATAAGGCATCCAAACATGGTTCTCCTCCTTGGAGCGTGCCCAGAGTTTGGCTGCTTAGTGTATGAGTACATGGCTAATGGAAGTTTGGATGATTGCCTCTTCCGGAGAGGCAACAAAGGAGCTCTTCCCTGGCAGCTAAGATTCCGAATTGCTGCAGAGATTGCCACTGGGCTACTTTTCCTGCACCAGACGAAGCCAGAACCACTGGTGCACCGTGACTTGAAACCTGGAAACATTTTGCTTGACCGTAACTTTGTGAGCAAGATCAGTGATGTGGGATTGGCCAGGCTTGTCCCTCCTTCAGTTGCAGATACTGTGACACAGTATCGCATGACATCAACTGCTGGAACTTTCTGTTACATTGACCCTGAGTACCAGCAAACGGGTATGCTGGGAATCAAATCTGATATTTACTCACTGGGGATCATGCTTCTACAGATTATAACAGCGAAGCCGCCAATGGGTTTGACTCACCATGTTGGAAGATCTATTGAGAAAGGGACTTTCGCCGAGATGCTCGACCCAGCCGTTGTGGATTGGCCGGTTGAACATGCCTTGCATTTTGCTAGGCTTGCATTGGGGTGTGCAGAAATGAGAAGAAAAGATAGACCTGATCTTGGAAAAGTTGTATTACCTGAGCTCAATAAACTCAGAGATTTTGCTGAAGACAACATGCCCATGATGATGATGTTCGGTGTCCCCACAGGATTCACTCCCAGAAGCAACTACAATTACTCACACTCTTCCATTTCCTCGGCTCAAGTGAGTCACCGTCACTCATTACTCGTTGTTTCTCCAGCTTATATTATAGTCATTAACATCATATGTTTTTCTTGTAGGATTCCATGAGTGATTTCCAATCGCTGTCAGGAATATCCAGCCGCTCAAGCTCAAGCTCATCGTGTGCATAACAAGTGGATGACGAGGCAGTTGGTTTAAAAACAGCATGATAACATAATAACAGGCACTTCTAAGCCTAGTTTAGTTCGTTTAGAGAAAACTCATGTATCCAGCCAAAAACTGCAATTTTTCAAGTGTATATCAAGTGATTTTTGTCAATGAGTAGCTTACAGCTTGATTCAACTGAATGCAAAAGTACATTTCTCTTAGTTTTAACCTCATTGCAAGTACTCAAAAAAATTATTAACACAAATAGTTAATTATTATGCCCCTTAATCAAATACTAGAATTCAATCTTCTAAGTTAGACATAAAATTACAACCGAAAATGGAAGTACTACAGTAGAAACTCTTTAAATTAATAATGTCAGGACCGGAGAAATTTATTAATTTAGAGAGTTATTAATTTATCGATAAATTAATAATTATTAATTTAAAGAGTTTTTAAGTAATTATACTGTACATACCAAACCAAAAGGCAAATTAGTCTATGCCTCTTAGAATTACGTTGCAGCGAACCTTGGAACTCAACGTAAATTAGTAACTTTTGAAGTACATATGCATTGAAAATCAATACGTAATGACTTTTGAAATACATATGCATTGAAAATCAATAATGACTTTTGAAGTACAGTAAATATAAACAAGAGGAACAAATGTGTTCAATGTAAACAAGAGAAACAATAGCGAATTACTTCCGACACTGTAAAATTCGTTCAGCTAGTGACGTTGCAAGAAATTTGGATGAATCCACTTTTGATGAAGAACCTCAAGACCTCGAGACTATGATCGATCAATGTGGCTATCTAATAAGATCCATATCGACAATCTAATGAACTACCCAAGTGAAAATGAAGCATGTTCGGAGGTTCAGAGTTTAAAAGATATTGTGGGTACTATCATTGAGAACAATGCAGAAGATGACAGCGAAGATGATACAGTGTCTTTGGAGCCTGTTACGCGAAAGGAAGCACTTATGGCGTCGAACACTCTTCACAACTTTATGATACAACACAAAAATATAACACCTGAACTATTGGATGCAATAAGAAAAGTTAGAGATGAGCTTCAAATAGACTTGAACTTTAAAGAAAAACAGACAACTATTGAATCATATTTCAATAAAGTGTAATATATTTTTTTTTCAGTTTTTATGAATTATTAATTTATGATTTTCTTGGGACCGAAAATTATAAAGAGATCTCCTGAAAATTTATTATCTTATTATTTTATCAAGTTTTTCAATTTTTTAAATTGACCCAAGTCGAGATCGAACAAATTTATTATTTTAGAAAGTTTATTAATTTACCGAGTATTAATTTAAAGAATTTCTCCTGTATTTTATTTTTATAATAGCCGAGTTAGTAAGAAAGAAGTTATACTTTATTTATTAAAAGGAAGAAAAAAATACTCGTTGCATGTACTGAAGGACAAAACTTTTGCCATAATTTTGTCGGGGGTTTCAAGTAGAATGAACATACAAGTTACGTCTGTACTTCATTCCCTGAATTGCTAACCGTACATTCTGATATCATTGTCATTCCTTGTTCCATGACCAATGTCCGACGTAGCACAGAAGACTATTTCCATGGCTGGTGCTATAAGGTCGCGAATAGGGACGGATCACATGAAATCTCTCACTTCACGTTAAATGCAAGTAATAAATATGGATCATAGAAAAAGGAAGTCTAAACAAAAACTATTTTAAATATCTAGCGACGCCAATTGATCCGTATAACAAACCCAACCAGTTAGGATAAGATTAAGTCCTTATTACTGTATCTAGCATCGAGCTCTTAATACAAGAATTACAAACAAGCCTTGGGACAGATCCTCTAATAACAATTGTGACTACCACGACTTGAAAAGAAATGCAAGAAGCAGCTATTCCCAATTCCTGCACTAATATTTGGGACGAAAGCAAAACATAATTAATTTTATAATATAATCATGTAAAGAGACTAATTATCAAAATTTCATTAAAATTTCGCTTCCACTTCGAGGGACTGTCGACATGGTGATTACAACCAAGCAATTATGGCATCAGAAAATCATATCATATCATATCCATCAGGCAATTGAGCCAGCCAGTTCTTTCACCGTGTTAGAGAGTACCATCTTCTGTGGCGGCTGCATTTGAAGAGGACATCAAATCAAATAACTTAAATAAAAAAAATAAAAGAAATTTTATTTTAGCATTTAGGTTTAGAAAGTCCCGGAACACATTAGCAAGGTTGCTCAACACTATCTGCAATAGGACCATTGTCATATTTTCGTTCATTCTACAAGATCAATAGATCATTGAGGAACTGTATTTACAGACTTGCCAGTTGGAACAAGCCCAAAAGCTAGTGGTTGGAGACTCCAGGACCATGTTAATCCCAAAATAGGCTTATGAGCAGGCACTCAATCTAGGAATATTCTGACCTGTTTTTTTATACTGCCCAACATCCAAGTTGCTGGGTGCTAGCTCGTCACTAGCCTGGACAGACACTTATATGACAGCATTCGCTTGCACCATGAGCAGTAGCAAGCTTCTATACCAATTGTTTTATGATCTTGGGAGAACTACATCCCCAAAATTAACTTAATTATAAATCCTATACCATGCACATGGGCATCTGATGTGAACCATGACTTGTGCACAAAACTTATGGGCATCTGATGTGAACCATGGCTCGTGCACAAAACTTGTAAGCATCTGATGCAAAAGCAACTAGACTGTATACAATTTTATATCCACAATCCAAACCCTGATTCTACGCGGCAAAAACTTCTAAAAGCAGCTTCTGATAAATTTTCTCAAAATCTTGGACAAGCTCTATCAGCTAGAACTGGGGTTATCAACCCTATACAATCAATCATGATAGATAGTATTGAAGGATTCAGAGTATGAATGAGTTTTCCTACCAAAATTGTTCTGAAGCAACTCCAAAACAAGGAAATATAATTTTTAAACCCATTGCCCGATAATAACATTTTCAAGGCTATATTAGGTTCTTACCATTGCCAACTCTTCCTCATGTTTAGGAATAAAAGCAGTATCAACATTGCCATTTCTGAAATCCTGTAATACGGCAAAGATATGACATATATTAGATATAGTTATTTAAATTCTGACTTCTGCTCAAAAGAAAATATTGTTAAAGGATACATGTTAAAAAAATACATAAAAGGCACACCCACCTCTATGTCGAGGATAAGTTTATGATAATCAATTGTAGTAGGAACTCCTGTGAGAAAATTGAAATTGTTAATTATGCCATACAAAGTGAACGGTTTAAAACAAGGATCAAGACCATCTGCAGATTCTTTTTGAAACTAAAAGGTTTAGAATTGAAGAGATCTTTGTGGCAAAGTTGGTTCAATGAATATGATCCCTTGGATCAGACACTGCACATTCCGCAATTTGTTTCAAACTGCAAAGGATCCAGTTCTTTTAAGCAAACTTTGTTCTTTTTGCAATGTATATTAACCGAGGTGCAAAGGAAAAGTATTTAATTCTTTTCTGGCTTCAGGCATGCATGCAATGGACTAACACCAAGTACAGGTATCTAACAGAATAATCAAAATCATATTATTTTACCTGTGATAATCGTGTCATCAAGTGCCCTTTTCATGCGTTCAATTGCTTTTTCTCTTGTTGGAGCCCATACAATCAGCTAAAAAAGTACAAAGTCAAGACAAGAGTTAGGATTGAAATAAAAAAGTGCACTTCACATAGAGTTGGATTAGTTATATCTAAGCTTCCTCACAACATAAATTGAAAATAAATTGAAACATTTAGAATTTAGAATATATTACATCCTGTTCATTTAATATTTTGAACCCCATTTTCTTTCCCTTTTTTCATCTGTTCATTCTTCCCACTTGTGTGGTGGAACAAATCACATACCAATACACAATACATTCTCCTTTTTAACAAATACTGTAACCATTTAATTTATATTTATATTTTTAACCTATCATTGCTTAAATCCAAAAGCCCAAGCATCAAAAGAGAAGCAAACTTGAAATGCAATTGAGAGTTTAAAAGGAAAAGACTATGATTAGTATATGTTTGTATTAAATATTGATGTTACTATTTATTACATTGAATTGTTATTACATTAACACCTCCTAAGGTTTCGTAAGATTGCACACATATCTCATTGTTTTCTAACATTTACAGCAACCTCTCTTAGAGGAGGTCATAATATAATATTTTTCAAACAATTAAGGAAGATTAATGTAATGTAATATATTACATCCTATTCATCTAATATTTTGGATTTGGACCCCATTTTCTTTCACTTTTTTCATCCATTCATTCTTCCCACTTGTGTGGTGGAACAAATCACATACCAATACGCAATACATTCTCCTTTTTAACAAATATTGTAACCATTTAATTTATATTTTTAACCTATCATTGCTCAAATCCAAAAGGCCAAGCATCAAAAGAGAAACAAACTTGAAATGCAATTGAGAGTTTAAAAGGAAAAGACTATGATTAGTATATGTTTGTATTAAATATTGATGTTATTATTTATTACATTGAATTGTAAATTACATTAACACCTAAGGTTTAGTAAGATTGCACACATATCTCTTGTTTTTTTTTTTAACGTTTAAAGTAACCTCCCATAGAGAAGGTCACAGTGTAATATTTTCAAACAATAAAGGGAGATTAATGTAATGTTTGAGGGGTGTCAATCTAATGTTTTCAAATAATTAAGGGGAGTAGTATAGGGATAAAAAAGTAGGGAGTATTTACAATTTCACAAAACCTTGAGAGGTGTTTATGTAATTTATACATTGGCAGTGTACACACATTTGAAGTTCGTATGGAACATAAAATACATAAATTATGTAGTATCGCAATTCAGATTAAGAATTAGAAATCAATATTATAAACGAGAATAGGTTGGCACACCTTTCCAAGAAGAGAGTCGTAGCTTGGAGGAACCACATAATCAGGATAAACATGACTATCCATTCTGACAAATGGACCTCCAGATGGCAAGTATGCTGTTATTCTACCTGTTATTTGAGGAGATAAATATCCTTAGATTAATAAACTTAAATAAAAAATAAAAATAAAACCATAAAATGCAAGCACTTGGCAATGATTGAAATTTGAAAGAAGCTAGTTGACCAAATTAACCAAAATATGTATGAAACCTATTGTGTTTTAAGCTAACATTGTGATTTTTTTTAACATATATTTGCACAAATTCACCAGTGATAAATCAACATACCTGGCCCTGGTCTAAATCCCTTAAAAGCATCTTCTGCATTGATACGGCATTCAATAGAATGTCCTCTGAGCACAATATCCTCCTGTAGAAAAAACTACAATAAGAGCAAGATTCTAAAAAATCACAAGTAAAATATCTCCTCTATTACCTGTTTGTATCGAAGTTTTTCTCCCATAGCAACACGAATTTGCTCTTCTATCAAATCAGTTGAGGAAATCATTTCTGTCACAGGATGCTCAACCTGACACGAAAGAATAAAACAATGGAAAATTATTCACTCACTGTTAGATTTCTTCTTAAAATCAATTGACATTAAGTAAAGTTTCCCAACAGATATATAAGTTGCCCCCCGAAGAATTGAGGCAAGTGATGTAAAACATCCCAACACTTTCTTCTACATATGCCTGCCAAACCAGCAATGCATACCAGAAGAGTAGGTGAACCACAAAGATGGTCTATAAGTTCTAATACCATCTTAAAAAATGAGTTTGGGTTTAACTTAAAACTACAAAACCGACTTGTAAAATGAGAATTGTTTTCCACTTATATACATTATTTTGCGATATCAGTAGTCAATATGAAAACTCCAACATTCACAAATATTGAACAGTTACCTAGGTTCATTTCATATAAAAAAAGTATAACAGAAATTAGTGTCAACCTGGATACGAGTGTTCATCTCCATGAAGTAAAAGGAACCCCTTTCATCCAAAAGGAATTCAACCGTTCCAACACCTATGTAACCAATAGATGCAGCAGCTGCCACTGCTGCATCTCCCATTGCCTTTCGCAACTCAGGGGTCAGTGCAGGAGATGGTGCTTCTTCAAGCAGTTTTTGATTACGCCTCTGCATGAAAAAACACAATCCACAGAACTTATTACTTCAGGTAGGATCTCTTGCAACTTGATTAGGAAAAGAGAAATTAAATAATTAGAACACCTTTTGATATTGCTATCTTACTATAAAACTTGTTTAATAACATTGAAATTACAAGATGAATCCAGTTCAAGTTTTTTTTTCCCCCCTGCATTTTTTTATCACATTTGTTATCATAAAATACTAGATATACATATGAAACTCCATAGTGAACAAAACACTAAAATAACCATTATGTTAATAATGGAAGTTGCTTCAATTACTACCAACAACATTGCTATAATCTTTCACAATGCAGTCACAAAAACAAATAAATTAATACTCATTATACATATTTTAAATAGTTTATATTCAGTTTTTTTTATCTTTAATTCACCAATGACAAAGTCAAATTACTGGTTTACAGAACACAGCTTTTATTTTATTTTTTTCAATATAAAATCAATATTCAAGATGGGTATTATTATGCTTAATACAAATAACTAATTTGACAAACTAAACATAAACAGAATGAGAAATGGAGGAATTAAGTTCATAGTACCTGAATGCTGCAATCACGTTCTCCAAAGTGAACAACATTACCATATTTATCTGCAAGAACCTGCAGCCATGAAGCATAGGAATAGATGAATTAAATACAATACCATTATTTATAAATCCAAGCAATAATCAATGACCATAAAAGTATTAAGCTGTAAAACCAACAAGGAATTTTTCAAATCAATTGTAAAGGAGTTAATAATAATATATTAATTTCATTATCTGTAATTCAAATCATACAGGTCTTGAACTAAAAAACCTAGGCACCCAAACCAACTAGGAATTTTTCAAATCAATTGTAAGACGGCCCATTTACTCAATCACAATGCAGAACTTTTCTTCAACCTGCTCTAACATATAGCCAGTAAAGGAGGCTGTTGGAGCACATCTGATGCTAAGTTTCTTAAATTATTTTTGTGGACCCTACAATGACACATCATATTTAAGAACTCAAACAAAAATTTACTCCAATGAAAAGGTTTATAACAGAGTTCTTAACTTGTCGAATTTCTGAGAGAAAAAAATATTTTTTTTATTGTTAAGGCAGTTGCTTATATAAGCAACTGGTTCTTGTATAAGAGCCAACTCCATTTGCCACAATGGTTAAGAACCCATAAGAGCATAGTTAAACTATTCCATTGGAGAAGCTCTAAGATGCTTCTACATGGTTAAATAATTAACATTGTGAAGCATGATATTGGCAAGAATATATAATATAGAATATAAATTAACTTTAATTTTTTGAGTGAACAATTTAAACTACAGTGTAGAACCATTCAAATTGGATTTATTTAACAAACATAATAATGTCGTCAATAAATACTGTTAAGTTTCTACTTCAGAGCCTCTGTGACAACCAGGAAATTGTATTTGATGCAATCGATTATTACATTGCTCAAATGCAGAAGTTCAATTAGTTAAGTAATTACTAACTTGAGTGTTTCCCATGGACAAAGTTCCCTCAAGGTGTTATAGATTTCAATAAGGAAAAAGAAGATAACACTACCTGGAACTCAATGTGCCTTGGGTTTTGAATGTACTTCTCCAAATATACCCCATCATTTCCAAATGCAGCAGCTGCTTCACTCTTAGCTTGCTGCAAATAAATCACATTGAATAAAAAGATCACCAAAAATACATATATCTATTCCCATCAACGGGACAAACTCTACCAGAATAGAACTATTTACAATCAAAATAAAATCATCTCCTTTCCATCAGAATCCATTATGATGGTCAAGCCCTAAAACATGCTTCTGCAATAGAGAAGCATTCATTTCATAACAATTACTGGAACATAGAAACTGCAGGAAAACCTTGTTCTTACTGGAACATTACTAAGAAACTTTGATCCATCACATTGTTAGAAAATAAATATGGTAAAAGACTGTCCTCACAGTGCAAGCATTCTTGTTTGTTTGATCTTTTTTTTCTCTACCCTGATTGTGAACAAATTTGGAAGTTCTAAAATAAATATGATTTTAATAATGTATAAAAACGTGATTTATTTTTTAAAGATTTGAAAAGCAGTTGCTTTTTATTTGGTTATGTTTATCAAAATCATTTTTTATTTTATTTTAAAAGGTAGCTATAATTATAGTTTATTTTAGAAAATACTCAAAGCAGCTTCTCAAAATAATTAGACATCTGAGTTGTTTTATATTCTGATTTAATAAATAAAACTAACACACCAAAAAAAATTCAAAAGTATTTTTTTTCCGAAATATAAGTATTTTTCATGAAAATAGCTGAAACAAACAGACTCTTGATCACTATGGCTTCAATACTTCAGTTGTGTTTCAAATTTACCACTTCAGCACTTCTGGCGTTTGCCTATAGCTGTTTACAACAGATAAGAAACTAAAGACTGTAACTAGTTCAGCAGTACAGAGTACAGACAACATAACAAGAACTTCCATTCAGGCAAAATACCTGTAACAACTTCACAAACTCATCAGGTTCTTTAGCAAGACGCATGCCACGTCCCCCACCACCAGCTGTTGCCTAAGAAACACCATACATTTGTCAGTTCACATAAGGTTGCTAAAGAAGAATGCACAACTTCACAAGGCCCATTTAAACAGTTTCAATGAAATGAATCACAAAGAATAATATACAGGACAGGACTAATAAATATTTATTTTCAATACACCACCACTATCCAAAAAATTGAATCGCCGTAGAAAGTTGAATCCTGCCTAGGTACAAAAGTTTCCAGTTTCAAAACAATCAAAATTATAAACACATCTACAGGATTATACATAACTGACACCACTACTATAGGCATGGCCAGCAGCCATTCCATTCGTAGCTACAAAAACAATTACAACAAAACTCCAAGAATATATTGTGGGTCCTTGGCAACAAGTGAGTCGTAATCATAGTTCAATCCTGAGAGTTCTATAGCTTTATACAAAGGCATTAAGGCAAGCAGGAGCATGTCAGAAAAACTGCTTTAAACAAATCAACATCACCATTCTTTTTCAAGATCAATATGTGTTTACTAGCCTTCCCATTTTTTGCCGGTCTAATTGGGTCATCTAGAACCTAAAACCAAGTGTAAACTTGCACAAAGAAGGACTCAACCCATAACAATCTTCAATTTATACTTTTAATGTCACTTCAAAGAATAGATAACACAGTTAAGCAAGTGAAATTGGCCATTATTTCATTGAAAGAAATAATCCTGAATAATAAACTCCTTCTATATTAGATTGCACAGGAAATGGGATATTTCCACAAGTATATGTTTCAAACATTGGAAGTTGATCTACCAGAATTGTCTTCATACAGAGGAAGTAGCAAAAAATGAGTAAAGAGTTTGTAAAAGGGACAGAACATGCTACCACAGATGTACATTCCTCCTATAGGCTGTAATCACAGAAGTCTGCAGAAGAAATTCTTCCTTTCCTTTTTTATCCTTTTACAACATAGTCTCACTCTCACCCCTATTATCCTTGAACCTTCAAATTGAAAATTATGTTTTAAGGATGACAAAGTAAAGAAAAGGAAACTCAGCCCATGTTGGCATTTTCCCCAAACCTTTCATAACCAGCCTCAACCACGTATACACACTCAGCCTATGAAGCTAACCTTTTCCATTGTCATCATTGTTGGAAAAACACACACACACATATACACACGCATGTAAATGAGAGTATGTCAACACAGTAGATACCCCTCAAACATATTGACTTTTTAAGAACCTAGCTGATATTTAATTATTGGGTATGGGTAGATTTACTTGACATTAAATTCAAAATACTCTATTTCCACGAGAATTTTAAATTAATCATAATATAAACTTACTTTCAAACAAGATTCATTATCCTTTGAATATTTAGTGATTAAGGGATAGGAAGGTAAAAATTTACAAGACTATGCTTTGTTAGATTCATATTTACACACAGTGAGAATATACATGTATGAGTGTATGCATAAGGCATGTGTTGAATGATCTACAACAATCCAAAAATAAAAATGGAATTTGCTTCAAACACACACAAGGTTACAAATAAAAAATAATAAAGCAAATCTACCTTGATCATCACAGGGAAACCAATCTCATTTGCCAGCCTGATAGCTTCTTCAGTGGTCTGTTACATTAATTCTTTTCGTCAATTTTATGTCATAGAATCTGATATTGGCCTCAAACTTTTACATTGAAGATATTTATACACTTGAATCTAAATCTAATATAATACCTGCAAAAGGCCTTCACTTCCCGGAACAGTGGGAACACCTGCTTTCTTCATTGTCTCCCTTGCAGTTGATTTGTCACCCATAACCCGAATACTGTCAGGCTGAAAGTTTTAACTAAATATTTAGTATTACCATATAATTTGAAAGAGAAATATCAGAATCAACGTCGGATATTAATACATGAGATGAAACCTTATATTAGAATATACAACAAAAATTTGGTATAAGCTATATATATTCAACAGGGAAAACATAAAAATTAAGACTAACCCACAAAAATCAAATATAAAATTTGGTATAAAAGATAACTTGCAAGCCTCACTTGACTAGGCTTGTGCTAAATACACTTCACATGCACACCGACAATTTTAAACATACAATTTTCAACATAAAACACACAAACAACACAGCTCTGCAAGCACATTTTGTTCATTATGTGTACAGGTTAATAATATACATTCAACATCCTTTGTTTACTTATTTTTCAATCTTTAAACGTGGTCACCATGGATAAACACTAAAAAGCAATCGTCATCATCATACACATTTAGATGTAACTGCATATTAATACCAACCAAACAATAAGATGTTTTTAATTTTTTATCACTAACTGTAGTGATGGTGACTGTCAATCAAATTCCGGGCTTCACATACTATAGACAGAAGCAAGCTTTAAGATTTAATACGACAGTTTAAATTCGTCTAATTCAATCTAGGCGAGTCAATTGTAAAGCTCTAAACTAGGAAAGTCACGAGACATGAGCATTCTACAAACCGCAGAGACTACTCACGTTAGGCCCAATAAAGTTGATTCCATGTTCCGTGCACATTTCAACAAACACTGCATTCTCCGCCAGAAAACCATAGCCAGGATGCAACATCGTGCATCTGCGGCTAATTGCAGCCGAAAGAACATTCGGGATCAGCAAGTATCTACGCAGAAAAAAAAAACAAGCAAAAAAATCATTAACCACCGCAGATAGATGCTTAGACATAAACAAGAACTGAAACAAACAAAGGAAAAGGCAGTGAGTGACATACGACTGGCTACTCGGCGCTTCGCCGATGCAAACGGCTTCATCAGCTAATTTGACATGAAGCGCGTCCTTATCAATGGTGGAGTACACAGCCACACAGGGAATCCCCAACTCATGAGCGGTTCGAATGACGCGAACCGCAATCTCGCCTCTATTCGCGATGAGGATCTTGTTACCGTTACAAGTGGCGTGGAGCGCGCCGCAGTGACGCGTTTGGCGTTGTTTGTGAAATCGACTAACCTGACCTACTTGCCTGGGGAACCTCACTCGGTTCGTTCCCGCTAGGAAACTGCATTGAGAGCTCTTAATCCCTCCTTTCCCCGCAAATAAACCCTAGTTTCGTTTTCCATTTCGGATCAGATTCATAGCAACAGAACAAAACGATATTACACGAATTATTCAATCGATTAACAGTGTTGCTATCATTATCGTTATGATTAGTTTAGGAATTGTGAAATGGAAGAAGATGAGCGAGTGGTTACCACGAGGGGAACGGACGACGAGGTGAGGGAGTTGCAGGCTGAAAGTGTGGCTTCCATTTCCTGTAACGAAGAGAAGCATTGGTGGCGCGTGAGATAAATGTAGTAATATAGAGAGAGGTTGTGAAGGATTGAAGGATGGATGATACTTACCGATGGGAGCGGTGTTGGCGAGAGAAGAGAGTGTGATTTGCGTGTTGTGTTGTGATGGGAGTGAGTTTTTGATGTGGATGTCGATGGAAACGAGGGAGTGCCAAATTGAAAGCTCCGCCTAAATCTAAATGGTTTGTTTTAGTTGGACTTTGGCAGTTGGAAGCTGAGAGTGGGTGTTCATCTTCTTACATCGCAGCCCTTCGTTCAACCTTTATCATCTTCCTTCACATAAATGGACTGCGCTACGTGGCCCACCACACTTGCTTGGGTTTCTTTCAACTCTCAAGCCTGTTTCAATTAATGAGGATTCAATTTTAACTTTTTTTTTCTCTTCGTAGGACCTATATTTAATTTCAACATATGGTGAATGAAGATATGTTTTATTTAGTTTCATACATCGAGGTAAAAAATCAAACTAATATGTTATAGACTTATAGTAAGATAAACATAAGTACCTTTAGAAGCATTGTGATGTATTTTTGGTATCTATGGAAATAAATTGGTGAGAGAGAAGTTATCTATAATCTATAACAACAGTAAAATTGATATACACTTTATATATATATTTTTTGTTTTCAAGTTTACGCCTTTAATTTTAATAAGATTATATTGCTTTTACTTTGGATTCTACAATTTTACGTACTTATTTTGTTTTTAATTTTACTCTTTAATTACTACATTTGTAACTAAGTAACTTTTGACTCTCACCTTAAAAAAAAAAAAAGTGGGTTATTTTATATATAATAAATAAAAACTTTATTACAAATTCAATTTCAAAAAATATAAAATATAGACAAATTCGGTTACCTATCTTTTCACCGGTATTTCATAATGGTCACAAACCTCGTTGTATAGGTCAGTGCAAAATAGTCTTTCCTTTTCAAATTACATATTGGGTTATTTAATAGACACCAATACCAGTCTAAATTTTTTTTCCCCAAACATCCAACTAACATTTACCGGATCAAAACTTCATTTGTTAATTCATCTCTGTTGGAATTCAAGTGTGAAGCGAAGTCCCACATTGGTTAGAGTTAGACATGTTGAGTAATATATAAGCGAGAAAGACCCACCTACCTAATGCCTTAAGGTTTTAGGTTATGTTGTGGTGTCAAGCTCACTTGTGTGACTTACTCACTACCCATTGTGTGGAATGTTCCCCAGTGTTCTAAACTCCCCAACATTGGTATCAGAGCCGATGGTTTGACCAAGTGACTGGTGATGGCTCAGACGAGTATTGGTTGGATCTAAGAGTGGGATCCTAAATGGATTTGGCAAGAGATCCAAGAGTAGGATCATCCCTTATACTGAAAGTCTCCCTAGAGGTGTGGAGGACGTGTGTCGTTGAAGTGCAACGATAGTGCAAGTAAGGCCACCATTGAATACTCGTGGACGAAAGAAAAAAGCTTCCACTTGAGGAGGAGCGTGACCATGTGGAAGGGATTCACACTTGAGGGGGAGTGTTGGAATTCAAGTGTGAAGCGAAGTCCCACATTGGTTAGAGTTGGGCATGTTGAGTAATATATAAGTGAGAAAGACCCACCTACCTAATGCCTTAAGGTTTTAGGTTATGTTGTGGTGTCAAGCTCACTTGTGTGACTTACTCACTACCCATTGTGTGGAATGTTCCCCAGTGTTCTAAACTCCCCAACACAATCTTAAAGAGTAATTTGCTAATTTTTGAACTAAAAATATAGAAACATGGTTATCAAAGTTTATTTGATTCTGACCAACCAATCGAATCATTCTAACCAATAAATAATTATATAAGTAGTTTGAGCTGATTGTTGAATAAGAAATATCATAGAATCAAATAGCATGACCTAAACAATTTTCACAGTAAACTGATAACCTAGCCAAACAAACCAAAAAGTGAACCAATTAATGGGGTTTGAATAGATTGTTGTATTGTGACTTTTTTCAAAAAAATTTAAGATGTGGTATTTTTTTTAATTTGTTGTGTAAAACTTTTAGTCTATGAATTTTGCAATTCAACTAATTACCCTTGACTAACTTAATTAAGTAAATAATGAATTACAATAACATTTAATTCAAGTTTCATTCTAGCAATACATAAATGGTTGGGTAAGTTACTATTTAAAGTTATTAATACAAGTAATTTAATATTTATATACTTCAATTAAGGATTGGACTTCCTTTGAACATAAAATTTTAAATGAAGTATCAATTTATCCCAAAAAAAAAAAAAAGGTTAGTCAACTATAAATATTTACTAATATATATATATATATATATATATATCAATTCCTAATAATATTCACTAAAAAGTTAATAATAATATTCACTAAAAAGTTAATATCAACCATGAGTAGATTCAACTAATAAGACTACCAATATTCAATAAATAAGTCGAGTATTCAATTTTATCTCGAGGTAATAAAATTAATGTTATAGTAAAAATAAAAGCTTTTGACTTATTAATGGACAGTTTGAGTGATATGCATAAAGTCATAAATTTTAACTCTATTGTTTATATATATATATATATATATAAAATTTCATTTAAAAGATTTTGCACTGATATAAATAATTTTATTTTAAATTATTATTTTTATTATTAAAACAATAATTTATTATTGTGCGTTATATTTTTTACTTTCCCTTTTAAAATATTACCTTTTCTATTATTTTAGATTAGACTATAATAATATTTGACTGCAATAACGTTTTTTTTCTTATGATTCAAGTATTAATTTTCTATTATATTTTAATATTTTAATATTTTATTTGTATTGTTTATATTCGCTATTGGGATTATTTTTATTTAATTTGCATTTGCTTGTAGATTAATGTGTATATATATATATATATATAAATATTCAATTATAGATAATTTGAATTTTAATATTTTTTTAATTTTAATTAATCTCAATTTGAATTTAATTTTTGAAAATTTATTTTTCACAAAGTAAACAATTAATGTATTTTTATTTAAACATTTTTTTTTTATATTTTTCTCATCAATATATTTTTTTTATATATTTCTAAGCAATATTTTAAAATTTTAATTTTATAATATTATTTTATTGTTGAACTATTTTTTATTATTACAATAAAATTATGTGTATTTTTTATTATGTTTATTTTCCTTCATATAATGTTAGTTTTCTACTATTTTTACATTTTAGACACATATAATATCGTCATAGTAACTTTCTTTTCTTCTTATGATTATAGTATTAGTCGACTCTTTTTATGTTTTCTTTTTATATTTTCTTTCTTTATATTCGTTATTAGTATATACTTTACATTCTTTTAAGATTACAATTATTGATAGATATTTTTTAAAATATTAATTATCATTTTATTATTATTTGAAAATAATATTATTATAACATTGTTTATTATTATTATTATTAAGAGATAATTATGTTAAATAGTTATTATAATTTTAGTTATATATATAGTACAATTTTACACTGTAGACCGATTTATAGATACGCTCCAAAAGAGTACCGATTTTAATATACTATAAACTATCGATATGCTAGTTAAAGTAGTACACAAAAGGCAAGCAAATATTCTATAACATTTATAACGATATTTAAAAAGAATACACTTTTTAGTAACTATTTTTTGGTTTTTATTCTTCCAAGACAGTTTTATTTCTAATTTATTTTGCTTTTTTTTTTTGGCATAGATCTATTTTTTTTTCCTTGGTTTACTCTGTAACTGTTAATATATAATAATTACTTTTTTTTTCCTACTAATATTAAATAATGAACAACACATATGCAACATAGCTTCTCTGTATAGCATGAACATACAAGTCGGAGCACTTTTTTTTTCCTAAAATTAAATTTAACAAAGAAGGACCTTCAACTTACATAGATAATTTTGGCAGATTGCGATCGGATTTGGCTATTCCCATCCCCATTCACATTAAGATAGAGTTTGAAAATAGGAAAGAAATTAAATAAATAAAAAAAAGAAGGTAAAAATAGAGTGAAATAAAAGTGAGACTAGTTTAGAAGCAGATACACAAAATTAATATTCAACTCCATCCCCTCCAGGTCCAAAGTTGCTTGTTATTATTTTTAAATGATTATTTACTTGCATACAATTTCAAATAAATCATATATTAACTTATCAATTACATTTTAGTGCATAATTTGGATGAAATTTTTTTTAAAAAAATGAATCATAAGCATAAAAGTTTTAAGAATTAAACTATAATTTTAAAAAATTGTTTGTTTATATTTTAAATTATAACAACGAATAGTTTATTTTTAATAGTTATAGAAAATACCAAAAAAAAAACTCTAATATCTACATATTGTGCTGGGCTAGTTAAAGGGCAGAAAAGCAATTCCCCAAGCCCGCTTCAACTGTATTATGAAAATTGAAAACCCAAATCTAGCCTCATTCCTGC